TAAACTAGCTTCTTTATTATGCTAAAGCCAGAGTTTAGACTAGCTTCTTTATTATGCTAAAGCTAGATATTTTGTACTAGCTTCTTTATTATGCTAAAGCTAGAGTTTAGACTAGCTTCTTTATTATGCTAAAGCTAGATATTTTGTACTAGCTTCTTTATTATGCTAAAGCTAGAGTTTAGACTAGCTTCTTTATTATGCTAAAGCTAGAGATTTTAGACTAGCTTCTTTATTATGCTAAAGCTAGAGTTTAAACTAGCTTCTTTATTATGCTAAAGTTAGAGATTTTAGACTAGCTTCTTTATTATGCTAAAGTTAGAGATTTTAGACTAGCTTCTTTATTATGCTAAAGTTAGAGATTTTATACTAGCTTCTTTATCATGCTAAAGTTAGAGATTATGCTAGCTTCTTCATGATGCTAAAGTTAGAGATTATGCTAGCTTCTTCATGATGCTAAAGTTAGAGATTTTATACTAGCTTCTTTATCATGCTAAAGTTAGAGATTATGCTAGCTTCTTCATGATGCTAAAGTTAGATAAGTTATACAGGCTTTTTCTCACTGCTTAGCTCTTGTGTGAAACATTCGAACTATAATAATATAACTTGTGTTTTAATAATTCTACGTCATCTTTTGCTGATTCTTTGAACGTACAACCTCTCTATCGAATACTGTCCAACCTGCCATTGTTGTTTACGTAAATAAATGTGAAATGTATTATGTGCAATTACTTAAATAAAGTTATTCAACAGGAAAACGGCTTTAAACGCTCGTATGAAATAACATACAAAATCATATAATTCTAAAATCAAGATACAGGATTGAAGCAGTAAAACCACCTCGGAATAACAGTGCAAGACAACCCCAGTGTGTGTCATATGTTATTGTTTACAGTTTTTAGCCCGAGGTTTGGGACGAACGCTGCTAAATTTAAACCTCGCCTCTCTACTGACAAACAGAAAGAGCAGGACGTCGGGAGTAAATATATTTAAACAAATATTTTAATATTTTAATATATTTAAACACGCTCCTGGACACATGTGACATTCGTGAAGCGAAAAGGCTTCGGTGGATCACAGATGACGGCAGATGATTCACCATAGTCATTTCCTTTCACCAAATTGCCTCCACCTCGACTTAACAAATGACGGGGCAGGGGCGTGTGTTGACGTTGCCGTGACAGCGGGCGTAAATCTAAATAAGCCAAACAGGGCGGAGTGCGGGAGCGCCTTTGCATCCGCGGCGTGTTTAGCCTTGGAAACGCTAATGTTTGCTTCCCCACCGCAGAGGACGTCATTAAACATCATTTGTAGGCATACATTACTCTATATGCTGCAAATCGGCCATCTGCCTTATCGCCGCGGAGACGATAAATCCGAGAGGGAGGCTAAAAGCGCGCAAGATCGCTAACGGCGAGATTACAGCGGCGAGACGTTGTAGCGAGAGTGGACGGGAAACGACGGAGAGTTTTAGCGAATTAGCTGAACATTCCTGAACAAACATCAAAGGATTCAAAAAGGTTAATTTTGTCTTTAGTCAAAAGGTTTTTTGTGGGATTTTTTTTAGAACACGAGACTAAACAAATATCAACGTAACTTGTTTTTGTTCAACGTTATCAATGCTAATGTTTCTGCAACACATGTAGACGACAGAAATCTTAAATGCGTGGCTCATTCTCATTGCAAAGAATGTGAGAAAAAACCTGAAAAATGCAGAAATTCTATGCGCTTTTGTCTAGTTCTATATAACAGCAGTCGTCTTAGGGAACTTTGATTCGCTAACAACAGATCAGAGAACAGAGGAAAGTAATAACCAACTCACAGGAGCCGTCAGTCCGCAGGGAGAGGTTCTTAAAGAGCGACTAAACACCAAATCAACTTTTTTTAACTCATAAACTGCATAAGTATGTTTATTGTAGTGCTGTCTACATATCCTGGTCATTTTTTTGACATTTTAGTTCAAATTAGATAAAGTATCACTTTTGTCTGTGTGGCGCCCTCTCAACCTTTTTGGTGGTACTACATTTGAATTTGGTCCTGGCCTCTCATTGACTCTGAAGTTCTCTATGACATCAGTTGTTTTGTGTGACGTCAGTCTGTCAGAGCCAGTGATGTGAACCCATTCATCTCTCACACACGCCCCAGCTGCAGTTTGGATTATTCTGGCGCCATCTAGTGGATTCAAATTAAATTACATGAGTCATTCTGAGCTTATTGAGTGTGATTAGGTTCAGGTGTGTAGCTTTACAATTATCTTAGTGTGTAAACAAGGGTGGAATGAGACTTTCTGGTCTGTAAACTATTGCTTTAAGTAGCAATGACGACTGTCTGTTTTTTTTTTTGTGACAAGTGAGCTGTCAATCACAGCCCAGACCACGCCCACCTCTAAGCCCCCCTTCTTGTTCCTTAGTCCTCCAGGCAACGCCCTTTTTAGAGAACATTTTCAAATCTTCATGTGGGCGGAGTCAGGCTGGGCACAGGTGTTTAGTCGCTCTTTAAATGTCCTGGATCATCACTGTCCTTAGACCAGGGGGGCTCAATACGTCGATCGCAACGGTAGTATTGGTAGATTGCATTACATTAAACAAATTATCCGTTTATGCATTTCCTGTGGACAGAGATAACCAGAGTTTTGCGTTTTCGCACGTCACAGTCTGCTCCAAAACAACAGCAGACAAAACATGTGACCTCTGACCTCTGAAGCAAGGATCTGACAGCCTTAAAAACTCTTCATTCTCCACATCAGAGAGCAGCAAAGTGATCACAGGGACTCACACTCCAAAACAGGAGCTAAAACAGGAGCTAAAACAGGAGCTAAAACAGGAGCTAAACCAGGACTAAACCAGGACTAAACCAGGACTAAACCAGGACTATACCAGGACAAAAACCAGGACTAAACCCGGACTAAACCAGGACAAAAACCAGGACTAAACCAGGACTAAACCAGGACTAAAGCAGGACTAAACCAGGACAAAAACCAGGACTAAACCAGGACTAAACCAGGTCTAAACCAGGACAAAAACCAGGACTAAACCAGGACTAAACCAGGTCTAAACCAGGACAAAAACCAGGACTAAACCAGGACTAAACCAGGTCTAAACCAGGACAAAAACCAGGACTAAATCAGGACTATACCAGGACAAAAACCAGGACTAAACCAGGACTAAACCAGGACAAAAACCAGGACTAAACCAGGACTACACCAGGACTAAAGCAGGACTAAACCAGGACAAAAACCAGGACTAAACCAGGTCTAAACCAGGACAAAAACCAGGACTAAACCAGGACTAAACCAGGTCTAAACCAGGACAAAAACCAGGACTAAACCAGGACTAAACCAGGTCTAAACCAGGACAAAAACCAGGACTAAACCAGGGCTGAGGACGGGGTCAGTGCTTGTAAACATGTCTTTACCCTGAGTTATTTCTGTGACTGTAAAAGTGCCGCTACAGAAGCACCGGCGTCTGCATCAAAGCTCCGCCCACTTCTGTGTTTTTTCCCAACGCAGGACGTCAGAGACGCACATGTTTGAATTTTATTGAAAATATATTAATATATACAGTCTGTGTTGAAAACGCAGATGTTCGGTTATATGTGGATGCAAATTATTTAATAAATCATGCGGTTTTGCATGAACATCAACATACATTGTAGATATAAAGAATCCTCAATATATTTGGTAATAAATATATGTCTTGCATTTTTGTAGTGGGTAGATCATTTTGACTTGATCATTTTATATGCTGAAAAAGTGTGAGCACCCCTGCCTTAGACGCTTAACATCTGCAAGAAACCACTCAAAAAAAAACAAAAAAAACAGTAGCCTTGAAATTAAAACCGAGCTCTTAGAATAATCTATGACTCTTCTGGCCCCTGGAAAAGCAATGTTCCAGCTTCTTCCCTCTCTCAGAAGATATTGTTGGCTGAGACGCAGGACATCCAGAGATGCTAGAAAAATGTAGGAATATTTTTGTAGGAGACCGAGTCCTGGATTCTGAATCTCGTGAAGCAAATCTGCAACTTCTATGGGTTGAAGTCTTTCTATTTTATTTGTCTATTTGACAAGCACATAATAGTACAATATTTTCTAAAATATATGATTAATGACGACTAATTTTTAAAGAACAGATAAAACTAAAAAACAAGTTCTTTTAACCATTTCCGTCTCATCCCAAAAGTTACACATTCAATACAAAACAACATGAAACATTTCCAATTTTCCCTTGAGCAGAAAACTAGACTTTTTCCGTGTTGTCTCGTTAACGTAGCGTGGTCAGGACGTGATGTATCCTGGCGGTGCAGTCTGCCGGGTTTATACACGGAGATATAGTAGAAGAAGAAGCACTGTCAAAATGCCATCTTCTTGTGCGGTGTACGTTTGTAGCAACCGCACAAATAGAGAGAAAGACAAGAGTTTGTTCATGTTCCAACTGTGGTCTCATATAAAGGAGGACACTTTGAAACTATCACTGGAATGAGGCGGAGGTGGATCAAGGCTTTCCCAGATAAGCGCCCCCTGCAGGCCACCCCAATGAAGCGCAGACATTTCTTCTGTTTTTCTTTTTCAAAAATGCCTGAGATCAAGACTCTTTTGAGAAATAGTTGTTAGTCCTTCCTTAGAATTGAGTGTCCCCGATTAAGACTGTTCCAACAACCGTACACCGCACAGGAGGAGAGCCTTTGACTCCAAAACAGACTTTACATGGTTTTCAATGGGAGCAACACTGTCCCATCTCTGCTCATGCGCCCCCTACTGGCCAGTTTAATGAAACACAAGAATATGTTTTGTCGTGATTCGTGCCCAAAAAAATAGCAATTGTAAACCGCTTTGAGACTCAGCTCTGCAGTGAAAAGGCGGTATATAAATAATTACTTACTTACTTACTTACTTACAGCATCACAAAAATCTGCCGTCAGTCCCTGTATGTTGCGTTAATAATGCATTCTCTACGCGTCGGAGGCGGCTGCACACAGAGCGAGGCCCGGAGGCTGTTGCGCCGTAATTAGCACGAGTGTCGCGCTGCTAAGACACAAGGCCACGCCCCCTCGCCACAGCGGGGATCGAACTCGCCGGAGGGGGATCTGATTCTCCGAGGTCCAATCGAGTGGATGTTGGAGCTCGCGATGAAGAAGGCGGGTTTGGAACGAGCTTCGGCGGAGGCAGACGCAAAGACAGAGACGGCTCCGAGGGCTTCACACCAGAACAAAGAGAGAGAGTTGAGTTCACCTGGTTTGTCTGGCACCAGGAGAGATCCAGGAAGGAACCATCAACGAGACTTTGGTTTAAAATACACTGGGATCAAGGGCTTTGTTTTCCAGTAAATAAATTAATATCACGCATTACTTAAGTCCATTCAAAAGTATAAAAAGACGACGCAGTGGTAGGTTCTCGGTCAAATCCCACCTCCAGGCTTTTCTGTGTGGAGTTTGCATGTTCTCTCCAGGTTTCCTCCAGGTGCTCCGGTTTGCCCTACCACTAAAAACATATACAATAAGTCTGGCATGTGCCTCCTGAAGGTGAACTCGCACCCATCTCTGTAGAAAGTGAGAGATGAATGTCCAGAACGATTGTAAAGCTTATTTACGACTCTGCACTGCAAAAAATGATAAAATATGAGGAAATGATAAAATATGAGGTAATGTTTGCCTGAATCCAGTGGTTTTGCCGATGGGACAAAGTTGGTTATTCATTATTTTTGAGAACTGCTGCTTTATTTTCTCAGTCCAACAGAGATATCTTTTGTATCTGTATATTGTTTTTACTGCGTACATAACGTTATACTTTTTCTATTTTATTTTTTTTTAACATATGAAGCTGGCAAACCTGTGTACTTAAGTGTTACTTTCATCTGTGTGCAGCACTTTGGAAACTTATTCTATAAAATGTCTATATATATTTAAAACAAGATAATTCTGCTCACTAAGTGCTCAAATTAGAATAGATTTTGCCAATTTGAGACATTTTTGACTTTTTTATCATCACTTTTTGCAGTGTGGTCTGTGAAAGGTGCTACATAAATGACTCATGGACTTGCGGTCTCAAATTCAAAAATATTTGTATTTGATGTAGTTGCCCAAATAAGGAGAGGAAAAACAGAAGAGATTTGCCATTTTTGAATATTTTGATCACATATTAGCATAACCGCTACACGAAGGAGCTATGTACAGTCATCCTTTATTGTTGCTCTAAAAAGTTCTGCCTTCATTCCGTCCAAACTACCGAGACTTTTGACATAAAAGCGTGTCTTTGTTTGGGCCTGGGATCGCTCAATACTCCATCATTCAGACCGAAACTTTTATACTTTTAGAAGATAACGTTTACAAGTGTCTTGCGGAAGTGTGGGAATCAGGGATGGACCATATTGCGGTTATATAGCAGCCGTTTTAACAAGAAGCCTGGAGGAAGCCCACGGAGCAGATTTATGAACGTCATCAAAGCAGACATGAAGTTAGCCGGCGCTAGGCTATTTTTCCCCGCTCTCTGCCCGTACCCTTTGGCCTGATGCATTCGATAAAGCTCCCACAATGGCCCGGGTTGGTCCTCTTCCTCGCCCTGAGCCTGCAGACGGCAGATAAGAGCTGATAACTCGGTTGACATCGCTCAAACCTTGCGGGAGTCATTACGGTCTCTGGAGGAGCAGCGTAACGACATGCAAAAAGACAAAGGCCGACCCCCACACGCGCCGCCGATGCATCTAACAAGGTTTAACGCCGAGGGTCAAGCAACGGACGGGCTCAGGTCTCAGCGGTGGAATATTCTCGGTTTAAATGTGGAGCTCATGACACGGGATATTCTTAAAACGCTATTCCCTCGTGTAAGAGAAAGCTCAGATCAGAAACGACCGGAAATATCGTGTTCTCGTTCAAAATACAGTCCAACTTATTTGCGAAGATATTGTGTAATTTTTCAGACGGCGATAGAACGATTAAAGTAAAGGCAACTTCATAAAAGAAAAATGAAAAGGAGTGGGTGAAGTAAACACATGTTCAAGACCGTTTTGTGCACAGTAGAGAATAGGATTTTAAGTGTGTTTTGTGCGTTTGTATAAAATTGTTTATTTTGATCAATTAAATTCAATACGTTTTTGTACAGCCCATTTTCAGAGCAGTTAGCAAACGGTTCGAACACGAGAAATGCAATGAAAGAAAACACTTAAAGCCATTGTGGCGACAGTAGCTCAGTTGGTAGAGCATTGGCCTTTGAGCCTGAAGGTCGTGGGTTCTACTTCACGACTCCCACTGATGTCTGCTGTTGTTGTGTCCTTGGGCAAGACACTTAACCCCACTTTGCCTGAAGCCCCCACTGACAGATCTCAGCTCCTGTGGACTCAGCACCTGCAGGAGGATCAGTGAGGGGCTGGGGCTGTGACTGCCACCCCCCCGACCCAGACATGGATTAAGGGGAAGAAGATGGATGGATGGACTTAAAGCCATTGGTCCATAAAGAGCAGAGACCAATGTCCACAGATGTTGATAAATGTCTAGAAACGTTCTGTAGATTATTTATTTTTATTCATGCCTTTTAATCATTCTAATTTAAATGTTATTTCTTAGAAGTGATGCCGATTTTTATTATGCCTCACTCTATTCTCTGCCTCTCTTTTCTGACTGATGCACTGAGCCAAAGCCAAGTCTGAGACCACCTGTTACTTACGTGGCAATAAAAATGATTCTGATTGTATTTTTTACTCTCACACCTTGTCTGCACCGAGAGTCAAAGCTATGTCCTAGTTTGAGACGTCCTGTTCCTCACAATAGCAATAAAAAAAACTATGATTCTGATATTTCTCTGCTTTTTAAAACTCAATTATTGCCTCAGAGTTTTGTATAGTCCTGATTCACAACCACTGTCTTTTCGGAGGACTTGATTTATCTCCACTGACTCTAAAAAACCTTTGTCAAACTTTGCTCTGAACAAACATCTCGATCGACTCGGTCCACTCTGAACAAAAACACTGCGATTCCAAAAAGATCTTCGGCCTTTGCACAATCTGCCTTTTCATTTTGCGCCGTCAAACACTAGAACCAGTTTCCAGACTCTGAAATGGTCCGTCGATCTGAGACATCTTACTATAAATTTGGAAAAAGCACATTTTAGAGACATGTGTTTACTGTAGCCCACACCAAGAGAGAAACACATGTAATATATTTATGATTATATTTGTGAGGTAAGTTTGTTTTTATAATTGTCATGTACATGGACATGGAGCAACTGGAGACAACTAGTTTCTAGGCGGCTTTTGGCGACTGAGAGTAGATGATGGAGATGATCAGTTGCTGAAATCGGTCGATGTGAGCGCTCTTACAACTGGAGAAAAACAGTCGATCTCCGGATTCAGTCAGTTGCCCGTGTTCTATTTTTCGGCAACAACATGTGTGTATTGCGTGTATAGCGCCCTCTACAGTTTATGTCAGAAAACACACTGTACAGTAGTTGAGGCCAGTTGCGGTCGATGTACGCGCTGTTATTCCCCAGACTGGCCTGATACAGGAGTTGCCTGTTATTCCCCAGACTGGCCTGATACAGGAGTTACCTGTTATTCCCCAGACTGGCCTGATACAGGAGTTACCTGTTATTCCCCAGACTGGCCTGATACAGGAGTTACCTGTTATTCCTCAGACTGGTCTGATACAGGAGTTACCTGTTATTCCCCAGACTGGCCTGATACAGGAGTTACCTGTTATTCCTCAGACTGGCCTGATACAGGAGTTACCTGTTATTCCCCAGACTGACCTGATACAGGAGTTACCTGTTATTCCTCAGACTGGCCTGATACAGGAGTTACCTGTTATTCCCCAGACTGGCCTGATACATGAGTTACCTGTTATTCCCCAGACTGGCCTGATACAGGAGTTGCCTGTTATTCCCCAGACTGGCCTGATACTGGAGTTACCTGTTATTCCCCAGACTGGCCTGATACAGGAGTCGCCTGTTATTCCCCAGACTGGCCTGATACAGGAGTTACCTGTTATTCCCCAGACTGGCCTGATACAGGAGTTACCTGTTATTCCCCAGACTGGCCTGATACTGGAGTTACCTGTTATTCCCCAGACTGGCCTGATACAGGAGTTACCTGTTATTCCCCAGACTGGCCTGATACAGGAGTTACCTGTTATTCCCCAGACTGGCCTGATACAGGAGTTACCTGTTATTCCCCAGACTGACCTGATACAGGAGTTACCTGTTATTCCCCAGACTGGCCTGATACAGGAGTTACCTGTTATTCCCCAGACTGGCCTGATACTGGAGTTACCTGTTATTCCCCAGACTGGCCTGATACAGGAGTTACCTGTTATTCCTCAGACTGGCCTGATACAGGAGTTACCTGTTATTCCCCAGACTGGCCTGATACAGGAGTTACCTGTTATTCCCCAGACTGGCCTGATACAGGAGTTGCCCGTTTTCGCCAGATTGTCGATGTGTGCGGGGCAGCAACTCATAGGCCATGGATATAATCAGTTGCCAGTCGGATGTACGCTAGGCATTACACTAATAAACTAGACAGATCAGACTGAAACGTTGTGACTTGAATTCTACTGATACTGTCTCTTAGTGTGTGACATCATTATGGGCGGGTGAATTCAGGATTAATCAGACTGAACCAGGGTCTATGGATAATGTGCAATTCTAGTTCACTACTTCTACTTTCATCTTTCAGACTTGTTCTCCACACACTCAAATCTGGACCAAATTGGGCCTGAACATCACTGGAGCCTTCTGTACTCTCCGCTCAATGCCATTTCCAGCCTCCAGCTCCAGAATTCAGATAAAACTTTGATGCACTTCGAAGGCTGAACCCCCTTAAAAAGCCAGAGTTAACCGAGAGCGCTGCCCCTTTAAGACGTCAATGTCACTAATTATTCATATGCATCGGAGCCAAACAAGCACACGGCGAGAAGAGCCCAGAGCAAAGGCCGCGATCGCACGGGTCAAAGGGGTTCGCGAAACTCTGAGATGATTTTAGGGGGAACAGCTACGAGCCAAAACAACACGGACAAGGGCAGGTGTGACTCCCGCAAGCTTTATTGGAAATATTTACGACAAAACACGTCAATGGTAAAGTTTAGTGTAACATAACTACTACGCCAAACACTTTTTTATGAGTGAATAAAAAAAACCATACATGTGTCCTTATGTTTCTCACAGTCTTTCCCTCCATACACAACGGTGAGAAATTTCCACACTAGCCATAGCTGCCCTGGGACACACTGACAGAAGCGAGGCAACCACCAACCATTCACACACACCAGACTCATTCTAATGTGGGGGGAGTGTCTTGCCTAAGGACACAGCCACAGTTTGGGCACTTTACAGCCGCAGCCGCCCCACTGTGGCACCTGCTGTTGCCCGAGGTCTCCCATCACAGCACTAACCAGGCCCTGCCCTGCTTAGCTTCAGAGGTCTGACAGGTTTACAGCACCACAAAGTCAACTCCATTGGTTTCTTGTTAGTGAACAATAATGTAAACTTAGAGATATTATTTTCTGTTTTCTTCCACCTCACGCCCGTCTCATTTCTGGAAGCTAATTTCTCATTCCCATGACAACAACAAAAATGAATATTTAGAGTTTGGAATCTTGCTCGGGGCTCATCATCCAATGGAGTCGACTGCACCTCCCGTTTCTCAAAGTCTATACATAATTAAATTTAGCAGGATTTGTGAGTGTGAGGAGAGGGAAGTCTCTGCTTAGACTGCTGCCCCCATGACCCGGCAACGGATGAAGCGGAAGAAGATGAATGGACGGATGGATGGAGTTTTGTAGCAACAACCGAGGACTTTCTCACTGTCGCTGGTTAGTGTCAGTAGAGGAGGTGGAAAACTCTAAGACATTTGTAGAATATTTTTCGTGTATATTTATCTGAATAGATCAAAGTGGGAGGTTCTAACAGAAACTACTGTAAAGATAAGGTACTTTTTTAACATATATTTTTGAGTTTGGATGTGTTTTTCCACTAGGTTTGGATTCAACCACAACTGGGGCAAAAATGGATCAGAGATGAATTGAGTGAGAGTGATCAAAAAAATAATGATACAAATAATTGCCTTTAACATGTTTTACACTTCTGTTTTTGCACAATCTGAGTGATTCTATCTGTGCCAAATGTGACGTGTACATTTGTCCATCGGAGATAAATAAAGTTTATCATATCTTATTGAACATAGACTGTATATATTACTGGACCTAGTCACGCCTGTCTCCGCCGTTCTAACTAATGGGCCAAAAATTGGGCTTTCATGGAGAGATTCAAAATGGCTGCGGGGGCTGGAAAATGTGTCAGCTGCACGAGCCCCATTCATTTAAACGAGTGAGTTCTAAAGTCCACAGCGACTAAACTAGACTGGTCCAGAACACTAACTCAGCATTGACTCACATGTGGAACGGAGCTTTGGGCCAAGAGCCACTTTTGGACCATCCTGTAAAGACGTTTTCCAGAGGTAAGAAGATGCTATATGTTAGCATTGGCTAATTCTTATTCCGGGTCCACCCGTATCGGCCCGGGGTGGTATTACGGCATGTCAACGCACGTCATTTTGGCCACTTTTGTGTCGGGACCCACCCACACTGGAACAGATACATATGGTATACAGTACACCA